TTTTAAGAAATCCATATCCAAGTTCCTTGCCCATTTTAAAAATTAGGTATTTCTTGTGGTATTGTTGCTGTTGAGCTGCCGTTCTTTGTAGAATGTGGGCCTTAACCTTTGTAAGATACTGTTTTGCAGATATTTTTTTCCCTTTACAGTTGGTTTGTCTTCATTTTTGAAGTAATATCCTTTGATACAAAAGTTTTTCAATTTTAATGAAGTTCAATGTATTTCTTTTTATATTTATGCTTTTTTATGTTCTAAGAACACATTTTCAAATTCAAGGCTGTGGACCCTTTGCAACCCTTTGTTTTTTTTTATATTTGCAGTACAAGTGTACCTCATTTTATTTCACTCTATGATACTTTGCAGATAATGTGTTTTTTGTTTTTCAGCAAATTGAAGGCTTGTGATAATACTGTTTTCAATAAGCCTGTTGGCTCAGTTTTTAGGATAGTGTATCCTCACGTTTTTCTATGTCACATTTGGTAATGCTCACAGCATTTAAAACTTTCATTCTTATTATATTTGTTATAGTGTTCAATGAGCAGTGATTTTTTATATTACTATTGCATTTATTTTTGAGGTACCACAAACCGTACCCGTAAGAGATGGTGAATATGATTGGTACTGTTGCAGGTGTTCGTTCTGCACTACTTACCAGCTATACCCCTACCTGCCTTTCTCTCCTTGGGCCTCTCTGTTCCCTAAGACATGATAATCTTGAAATCAGACCAATTGATAACCCTACAATGACACTAAATGGTTAAGTGAAAGAAAGGATAGCTCTATTGTTGTCTTCTTTTAACAAATGATGCCACCTCAACCTTCAGTAACTGCACTGTTAATATTGAGCCATCAGTCTGTAGGTGCTCAACAGCACTCAACAGCCCTGTTGATGATAACGTCTTTTCGTGTCATTTCTCATTGTAGTAATTTGCATCTTCTGACTTTTTCTTTTTCTCTAGGGCTATATATTGTAAATTGGGTTGATATTTTAAAAGAACTCATTTTCAGTTTCCTGCATTTTAATTTTCTGCTCTCTGTTTCAGTTGTCTCTTTTCTAATGTTTAGTATTTCCTCCTTTTTGCTGGATTTGGGGTTAGCTTGCTTTTCTAGTTCCTTGAAGTATATAAATTCAGTTGTTTCAGATATTTCTTCTTTCTTTTGACATAAGTATTTGTATCTTTTTAAAGATTTTATTATTTTTGTGTGTGTACCGTCAAATCGGATCTGACTGGTATAGGAGGAGATGATCTCTCCTTCTCCAGCAGAGCATCTGGTGGATTCTAACCGTGTACCTCTGGGATTGCAGTGCAGCTTCTTGCCACTAGGCCACCAGAGCTCCCTGGTATTTGTGTTTTTTCTGTTTCCCACTAGCACTTCTCTTGCTGTATTTTGGTATGTTGTATTTTAATTTTCATTCATCTTTATATATTTTCTAACTTCCCTGTGATTTCTTCTTTGGCCGCCTGGTTATTTAAGAGTATATTGTTGACTTTCTACATTTCTGTGAATTTTCCAATTTTTGTTTTCAGCCCTAATTTAACTATAGTTCAGAGAAGGTATCTTGTACAATTTCAGTATTTTTTTTAAAATTCATTATATTTATATTTACTTAAACTTGTTCTGTGGTCCCAGATATGTTTATCCCAGACAATAGTCCACATAAATTTAAGAATATCTGTTCTTGGCTTGAGTGGTATATATACCTTCTTTGATAACTCAAACTCATTGCCATTAAGTCAGAACTGACTCACAAGTGAGCTTCCAGCTAAGGCTAATTCACATGAGAGATGATTGCCTATTTTCCTTGGAGATGCTGATGGATTCAAACTACCAGAGAAGTGTGAGGTTTGAGTTAGCAGCCCAACTTCCCACAAACTACGCCACCAGAGCTCCGCTTCGTGGTTTAGACCGTGGTTCAAGTCTATTCTTTCCTTACTACCTTCTGTCTAGATGTCCTTTCCATTATTGTAAGGTGTATATTGATGTCTCAAGCAAATACTGTAGAACTGTCTATTTTCCCCTTCATTTTTGTCAGTATTGGTGTCATATATTTGGAGTTCTGTTGTTTGGGGCATATATGTTTATAATTACTATATTTCTTTGTTGACTTGATCCCTTTAATGTTCTTTATCTGTTGTGACAATTTCCTGATTTTTAGCTTAAACTACAATTGTTGCCATTATATTAAATCCCTAATTTTGTTACTGGGATATTTGGACTAGTCCAGGTTTCTGTTTTCTATTATATTTTTGTGGAAATGTCTTGATTCTAATGCTATGTTGTATTTTTATTAATTTACTGGGCTCTGATACTGTATTTTAAAAACTTTATTAATACAATAGAGCTTAGGTTTTTTTCCTTTTTATTTATTTATATTTTTTTTTTGTTTAGAGCTTAGTTTTAATTAGAACTTAATTCATTGTCCATTTATATTAAAAGGGCTTTTGTAAATTGGGGCATAATGACTAGATAGTACTAATTGCAGTCAGTAGTCTAAATAGAGCATGAAGTAAAGTTCTTACAGTACAGCCTAAGTGACAGGAACAACTGACATTTTAAATTGAAATTACTAAATCCCACACAATTAATGTTCATGCCCCCCAGTTAAAGTGTATACTAGTAAATCAAGTATATAGAAATCAAGCTTTTGCCCATTTAAATTAATGATTTGTGAAGATAAGAATATACTATTGCTTTGATAGGTGGACATTTACATGCTTTTGTAGTCTTGTAGGATTATCTCAGTAACTTAGAAGAAGTGTTTTAAGCTTCTATTCAGAGTTATTAGCTTCAGTGTTTTTGACTATGAGATACAAGCTTAGAGGCAAGGCTATTGACATATGTCCCTCAGAAAAATTAGCCAATAAATTTGGTAGTTATTCATTGCCAACTTTGGCTAAAATATAAATTTTTTTTAATGGTTCAGACAATCATGGTAAGACTTGTTATTAATGATACTTTCTAAATTGTTATACAGTGATTAAGACCTATTAAAGCTTGTTGAATAAATGAATGAATACATGTGAGTTCTTCTGTATTATTAAGCAACATACTGAAATATAAACATGCAGGCAGGTCCTTTACACTTATTGTTGATCATATTTGAAAGGGTACACCAAAAATAAGATACTCCAATCCTCATTTAATAAACTTAAATAAGTTTATTAATGCATTGTTTTTATTAAATATTACCAGTGCATACAGGGATTTGAGTTTAGCCTTTTCTATTTCAAATGTTGCTTTTATTCTGAATTTTTTCTCCTTGTGATTTTTTTTCTTTCCTCACTACGAGAGGTAATTTTCCTATGATTGAGAAAATAGCATTGCTAATTAATTTCTACAACTATTGCCATAGGCTTTGTTATGTACTGTCAAGTTGGAACCGACTCATAGCTGACCCTTCAGTGGGTTTTCAGAGATCATGCTTGGATGGGTGGAGGGCCAGTGCAAGAGAGGAAGACCCTGTATTAGATGGATTGCTACAGTAACTGAGGCAGTGGGGGTAGGTGTATCTGAGTCAGTGAATCTGGCTCAGGACAGGGCAGACTTCAGAGCTGCTGTACACAGGGTTGCTATGAGTCACAGGCAGCTCGACAGCACATAACAACAACATACATTGCATGGGAAGAGAGTACATTCCCCCCCTCCCCATAATGGACTTTAGCAGGTAGAAGTATTAGTTTTCCTTTGAATGTTTCAAGTGTTTCCCAAGATCAGTAGAATATAAGTGATGACATTTCTCCTTACTCATATTTTTGAACCAATTTATTTCAACCATTGACTATAATATTTAATAAACTTATCACAGTATTATTAATCACAGCATATTTTTCTCAATTTATAAAATAATAAGCTAAATGAAACTTTCCCCCCTTTTACTGTTGTTTTTATACTGTAGTACTTGTGATCTTCAGCAGGATTGTTGTGTCTTCTCTGTCCCATACCCATTCCCAACAGCCATGTTTTATTTAAACATATTTAATAATAAATATAATCATTATCTTGGATTATATAAACAGATCTCCATGTGTTTCCAAGTGTTTTAAGCTTCTGTAAAGAGTTAGTAGCCTCACTGGTTTTGGCTATGACATACAAGCTTAGAGGCAAGGCAGCTGACATATGTCCCTCTGAAAAATTACTGACACGGCCAGTAATATTGATAACTTTGCATTGCCAGCTTTGCCAGTGACTCTAGAATTAGTTTTTCTCAATGTTAGGATTCAAATTGTTGAGAGTTACGGTTAGATTCCGTCCGTCCGTCCCCCCCCCCCTTTAATATTCTGCTATCAGACACAGATGTATAGAAATGTAGCTGATTCTGTCTCTGTCTTTTTCTGGTAACATCTTTGCTGATTTCTTGGGGATAGAATGTTATTTTTAGGTGCCATTGAGTTGGCTCCAACTCATGACCCTACATGTAGCAGAATGAAACCCTGAAACCCTGCCTGGTCTAGGTGGTCATCTTCAGAATCTCTGCTGTATGCTATAAGGGAGCTGTGATGACCTAGTGGTCAGAAACTGCATTGCAATCACAAAGACATGGTTTGAATCCACCAGCTGCTTCAAGAGAAAGGGATGGGTAGTCTCCTCCTGTGAGATTTATTGCCTCTGAAAACCCACTGGATGCTCAACTGTGAGTTGTTTTCCACTCAGCAGCACACAACAACAACATATGCTATTTGCTTACACCCATTGTTGAGGGTCTTCTTTTTCACTGATCCTCTGTTTTTCCAAGCATGATGGCTTGCAGGGACTGACCCCTCCTGATAATATGCCCAAGGTGTGTGAGACTAATTCTCACCATCTTCGCGCCTGTACAATATTCTGGCTATCACTTCTTCTGAGATGGTTTTTCCACATATCTTACATAATTTGAACCTAGCTTACCAGAGTCTCTAAAAACATCGTCAAACTTACCATATGTTGTTGAGAATGTCCATTGTTAATACGCAGGAATTTTACTCTGCAGGCTTCTGACTCTTGTTATCTTTTGCATGTAGCACTGTGACCTCTGCTGTGTTCACTGTGGGAGATAATGTTGTCTCGGGCAGTGATGACCGTACTGTGAAAGTTTGGGATTTAAAAAATATGAGATCCCCAATAGCAACAATTCGTACAGACTCAGCCATTAACAGGTAAAATAAAAGTAGTTGTTACACAAAATGTTTGACTTGCATAATAGTTCTGAATTGGTGATTGCATGCCATGTAAATCGAGTGTTTAATTGATAAAGCCTTGGGAAAACTATTTACTTTCCTGGGGAAATAGATTTTATTGACTTGCTGATATAAATCTAGTGAAATACAAAAAGAAATGGAGGTAACAGGCTTCATAAGAATAAACCATGTATATGTATATGTTGCTGTAAAATGTCTGCTTTACTTAATATGTGGGAATTAATGTTCAGTTTGAGGGAGTGGATCTGCATCTACCTCTCAGTAATATGGGTGTTGAGTGTATGTGTGGGCTGGTGTCAGCATGTATATCTATAGTTGCGTATAAGTAATGTGATTCCTTTATTTTTGTGGTCAGATAATGCTTATAATTTGGTAATATACTATGCCTTGAAATATGAATATTTAATAGCCTGTTGCATCATTCTTTGTAAACTCAAAAACTTGTCACTGTTTTAATCATTCTCAACCTTTATCTTTGTAGGATTAATGTCTGTGTTGGCCAAAAAATCATTGCCCTTCCACATGACAACCGACAAGTTAGATTATTTGATATGTCAGGAGTGCGATTAGCGAGGCTTCCTCGAAGCAATAGACAGGTAATAAAGATATTTTTTGCTTGAAAAGATACAATATATGTTCCTAAAGAAAATTAGGGAAGGCCTTGGAACTTTATTTGTTAGATTATGGAAGTCTAAAGCAAATAGAAGGTGATATACTTCAACCTGTCAAGGCAGAGCTTCCTCATATCACTCCGTTTTTCTCTTTTTCTTTTGACTTCTTATGAATATCTTAAGATCTGTGTGATGAAAGAGAATAAATCCTTTTCTTTATAAATGAGTGCATCTCCTGATCCCTCCAGCTGTATGTGTGTGTGGGTTAATGCAGATCCTTGACTGACTAACCACTTTCCAGCATTTTTTTAAATAGAGCATTCTCTACCAGTGACACACATTTATACATTGCCACTGTATTGATTTCCACTAGTAGTGATTTCACTGCATAAACCCTCAAAGTCCATTTGTACATCAAAAACTATAGGCCAAGGATAGTTAAATAGATATGTCACCAGGATATCATTTCTTTAAATGAGATTCATCAGCTTCCTGAAAATGCTGTCACTTAATACAAAGCTGTTTCAGCCAGTCTTCTCTTTAACAGCTCACAGATGTACTGTTAGAAGTTGCTTGTCTTTTCTTCAAGTTCACATCATAGAAAAAGTATTGAAAGTACTTTAAGTCACTGAAAAATTATATTGAAAGTATTTGTATTTGTATTGAAAGTATTTTAAGTAACTGGAAAATTTTTCATGAATAAAGCTATTTATTGACTTGTCTAAGGAGTGGCATCCATGTCTGTAATAGCTTGCTTCTGGAAACCCTTGGAACCTGGAGAAAGAACAAAAGTTATACAGGTGTCCAGGACTTTCGTTCATAGGGTCTCTATGAGTCGCCTATGACTCGATAGCACTTAACAAGGACAACAAGAGAATTATTTTTACATTTTGCCAGTTCTTATCTAAGCTGCATCCTAAACACAATAAAATATTCTAAGTGCTTTCTATATGTGTAAATTGCTAAGGAATATCAAAAGTTTGCATTTTGAAATAGGTTTATAGGAATTCATGTAATTTTATTACAGACAAATATTTACTTCAAAAAGATTAGTCGTAAGTTGTAGTTTGTGGTTCTGATTCTGTGTAGTGGGTTTCTTGTTTAGTTTTCCCCAGCATTCGACCTTGTTGAAATTACTGAATTCTGTTACGGGAAATGAGTTAGATATATTTTTGAAGATTAATAAATTATAGTTAACTGCACTGTGAACTTGTAGTAACACTTCTTCAAAGAAAATATGTTTTTCAGTGTCACAAAACCACAGCTATAACTCACGGGCTTCTGTCATTCTTGTTCCTTTCAACTGGGAGATTTTAAAAGGAAAAAGAAACACTTATTTGCAATTTTGGTAGTTAGAGTGAATGAGACTAACAACATATTTTCATTTGAAATTGTACCCTTTGGGGAAAATTTAAGTGACACATCCCAACAATTACAAGAAAAGCAACATTCTGTAGAATGTTAAGAGAAATGACAAAAAAAACCCCAACAAAACCAACAATAAAATATACAACGCCACAAAAAACTGATCTGATAAATTTGTGAAGTGTTGGTTTAAACAAACTTAAACAGGATTTTTTTTATTGCAAGCCAGTCAGAGCTTTTATTATGCGAATGTGTTATTTTGACTCTCCCTGGAGGGTATGGAACATTTTAAAAATCTCTTTGTTCTCTGGGACTTTTTTTAGTTCTGTACAGATATAGGACTTATGTCTAGGATATTAGATGAAAGTGTTGAATTTAAAAAATTAAGAGATTTATCTTCTAGAATTGCCACTATTTAGCTCTACTTCTCTTTTTCCCCAAACTATCTGTGAGCTCCATGTAGTTGTTTCCTCCTACTCAAGTTATTTAACAGCTGATTTCAGTGTTTTTCTATTGAAGATACTGAGTTTCTAATTTTTAATAATTCTGCAGAGGTTAGCTTACTACTCAACTAAATTAATGGATGTAGTATTTGTTTTTTTAGTGATTATTAACAAAGAAGATAACGTTTGTTATCTTTTGGAAGTGGCCTTTTTTTCTCAAAAGAATTAGATTTTTTGTGGCCTATCAGTTTTCTGGAGCCCTGGCGGTCTACTGGCAAGAAGCTGGCCCGTGGTTCGAGGCCACCAGCTGCTCAACAGGAGAAGGATGGGCAGTCTCCTCCCTTGTACTAGGTCACACTAATAGAGTCAACAATGGGTTGGTTTCGACTCTATGATATGCAAGAACAACAACATAATTTTCTTTCCGTATGCTTAAGAACTTATTTCATGATTTTTACAGAGGAAATTTAGTACCACTTTTTGAGTATTACTTTCACTTACTAGATTTCTGTCATTTTCTTTCAAATCTATTTCTTACACTCTATTTCATGCTAAAATAATAGTGTTAAGAGCATCATTAATTTAGGAATGAGGAATAAGTTCTGAGGCACTGCTTGCAGATGTACTTTCATGCATTAAGTTGAATGCTTATCTACTTTCACCGATTGCTTATTTTAATGGTATTTGTAATCTTTAGGTTTTTATTTAGTTTATTCCATAATATCAACTAGCCTCATTTTTTTATCAAACTTTAAAAAAATTGGTAATTTTTTCCTATCTAGCTGTAATTTTTCTTAAAGAATTGAAAATATGTTTATATGCAGCGTATTAAATATTTTATGTTTTAATCTTACTTTATCTGAACTTTTCTACCAGTGCATTAGTTAATTCTCTCATTGGCTTTCTCATTTTTGGCCCACTTTGAGTATTCTCTTTTGAGGATTTTTTTTTTGTTTGCTTTTTTTAAAGAAATTTTTTGCTTTGAGTCATGTAGTTTTTAATATGTTGAAGTTTATAACATTTGGAATATATTTTCAGGATAATACACTAATTTGGGTTTGTCTGATTGTTAACAGGGCCATAGAAGAATGGTATGCTGTTCAGCTTGGAGTGAAGATCACCCCATATGCAATCTGTTTACTTGTGGATTTGATAGGCAAGCCATTGGCTGGAACATAAACATCCCTGCCTTGTTACAAGAAAAATAAGAGAGCTAATACTCCTTTATTTCATTGTTTGCCATGGACCTTTAACTGGTGCAGACATATCTGCATATTAATCTGCCATTCTGTGAGAGTTTGACCCTGAAAAGAGTGTTTTATCTGTTCTTTTCACCGTGTACCGAGTTTGCATGAAATGTACAGGAAAACGTGATCATATTTTCTCCTTATTTTTGTCTCGTGTGTGGCCTTTTGTATATTGAGATCCTCTGGTCAGTAGAAATGAAGTTCACTTCCCATGCAGCACTTGAAATGCTCATGAGTTATTTAGTATTTGACAGAAATAGTAGGGCATTACATTTGTGGGAATCAAATGTGAAACCTATGTACTTATTTTAAGGAATATAGAAGTCTGTTACATTTTTTTCTGGAATAATTATACATATCTACCTTGTATTCATGAAAAGATTGCAGAGCTAAATTTGAGTTGGATAATGAATGGCAGTGATGATCAAAGATTTCATGTTTACCTTCTATATGAAGTTTTAGCATGTGCTATTGTGTAATTCAACTTCAACTCTAATTTCTTTTACAGTTCTGTAAAAAACTACCCTGGATTTGAGAAGTTGGAAAAAAAAAATAGCCTAGAATGTGGAGTTTGAAACATTCAGAAAGTTTCTTTTGAAAAGAAAACATGTTCTGCTCTTTTTATAGGAAATTATTTCAATCTCCTGTGGTCTCAGATTAGCAAATTCTAAAATAAAATTATTCTAATCACTGAAGTATATTGAAGCAAAATTTCAAGCACTTTAGTTTATAGCCATGGTTATAAACAATTTATGGAAGTTTCAAATGACTTATCCATTGAATGTGACTTAACCTTTGTAAGAAGGACCTGCTACCTGATATCAAAATCTTATTTATTTTCTACACCTTTGATTTGCATATTTCTAAATGGGTTCACTTCCTTGGTGGTATTTGAGAGCCAACAATGCAAATAAATGAGTACTACCTCAAAAATAAATGTATTTGGAAAATTTTGGAGTCTTGTTGTTGCCTAGTTAAAGCACTTTGATTTATAGCTGGAATATTGAATTCGGTTTAGAAGGCAAGAAAGACAATCATACCAAATGTGTCTGACGGTTCATCAGTTAGGCTAGTCAGGTCATAACCACAAACGATTAATGTGTAGGTCACAAAATGCTCTTGTCTTTATTAGCTGGGACACCTATCAGTGCCAATCCTACTACTGTGTGTGTGTGCCTGTTATTCTTGCCTTCCTAGAAATTCTAGTTCATCTGATATTTGTTAGTTAATGTTTCTTATTGACTTGTAGTTTTGATAAGGACACATCTCAGCATAGTGCCCTTCCTATTTTTAACCTTTTAAAAATGTTCACTTGGAGAGGCACAAAAGGTAATATTTAAGATTATCATGGGTGACCCCCCCACTTGTTTTCTCATGTCTTGTCGCACAGGATAGTACAGAATTTGGAAATTGGTTTAAGCTGTTTGGTTAGGTGTAGTATTAAATAGAACTTTCAGTGAAGCTTCTCAAGAGTGAAAACCTGCCTCTTTTATTGGCATGTTTCTTACATTATCTAGTATTAGTTGCAGTAATCTAGGAGCTCAAGTATTTGAATAATTCGCAGCTGGTTAACCCAGGCCTGGGAGCGTAGACAGGGCCCCAAAATAACCAAGACAGAGTTGCGTTTACTAACTAAGGGGCAAACAAATGTTTCAGAGAACTTTTCTTTCTAAAGCTTAAAAAAAAAAGTATCTCTAAAGTCTGGCATTTTATGGTCACGTAAGCCACCCTGTTTCAGAGAACTGAAGTCAAGCTTGCCATGGGCTAGAACTTCACTTTCAGCAACTACTATTCCAAGTGAATTGTGCTTGAGGCAGTCCTGTACTATTAGAAAATATTTACTGTGGCCTAATTTTGTCTTATAATGAACTATTTTATTGCCATATCTCTTCTCACTCCACCGCATAGCCAAAGGAAGAAGTGTAAGAGGAGTTCTGAATGATAAACTGCAGAAACTATGTGCTTAGGTTCTTTTTACCTTAATTAGAAAGTCTAGATGCAATTGTTAGGGATATTAAAAAAATGTCCACAATAACAAAATCAAACTTAACCAAATCTCTGCCAGATTAAAACAATTTTGAAATTTTCATATATATACCTTTTTTAAAAAATTCTTTTTCCCCTCCCATGATGGCTATTTAGATCTGTGCATCCTACCTTCACTGCCAAGAGCTGCTCCCTTTCCTGTCACTGACTAGAGGGACCAACCTCTGACACCAGAAATGAGTCTCTTTACTCATTTTCACAGATGGTGAACAAGCCCTAATGGTGCTAGAGCAGAGTTCTCAGGAGCAGGATAATAGTTACTCTGTTAATTACTGTGTCATCTTTCAACTTGATTTTATTCAATTGCTACTTGTTGGCCATAAGTGTTCATTTCAGCAAGTCTTAAGGGAGATTGGGGATAGTGATTTTTGTATGTGTGTGTATATATCTCTATGTGTGGCTCAAATTACGTCGTGTTGCTGGTCACATGTACTATCATTTGGAATAGTGTTTTGAAATCGGAATGGTTTTGTCTTGTATGCCGACATGTCCAGGATTTCATTTACTAATAGAAGGAAAATGTGTGATAATTGAACAATGTGTAATGATAGAGAATTTTATTTGAAATATGTTGTTGAACAGAGCAATGTTTTTTCTCAACCAGTGCACATTGGTTTTTGTCGAATCTAAATTCTGTACATATTTTGGAATTTGAGAAATCCTTTGTAAATCATTTGTTGCTTCAATCTGTGAAAAATAATGGTTTTTTTAGGAGAAAGAGTATGCATTTATAAGTCTTATGTGGAATCAATTGTTTTTATTGTATTGATGTAATTATTTTTATGTGTTCAATGTCTTCATTGCAATATGAAATTCATTAAACATGTTCCATAATTATTATGAAAGTTTTATGTTATCGGAAAAGTATTTTTCGCTTATTCATTCTTTGCTTTGGTGAAACGTTAATGTCTATGTAAATACCACAATTACAAAGAAATTGGACAAATTAATTATAATATGCCCATTTGAAGAACTTTAACTATGGAATAAAAATATATTTGCTATCTTACTAGAAAATAAAATGTTAATGTAGTTATGCTTCTTCATTCCCATAGGAAATTTCTGAAGGAGTTAAGAGGCATAGTATAGGCTTTTTTGCAAAATTATTCCTTATATCAGAAATTCTTGTATTATTAATACAGTTAAGCTTTTTTGAAAGCTAAAATAAAAGTAGTAAGAAATTATTTTCTGTTAGAGAATGCAAGTCAAGATTGGTAGTGATTATTGGAGTATCATTATGCTATTATCTAATTGATATATAAAGTATAATATTTAAGTATATATAAAGGAACCTCAGAAGATGCTGAAATACTGTTTTTGTCATGTGCCATTGAATCACTTGAGATTCATAGCAGCCCTCTACAACATCTTTGAACCTTTCTCTATCCTGAGCCAATCTTACTGTGTCTGAAACACCTACCCCCATAAGCCCAGACATGGAATCAATCCATCTCATTGAGAGTCTTCCTCCTGTCCCTTCACCCTCCCAAGCATGATGTCCTTCTCCAAGGACTGGTCCCTTCTTGCAGCATGTCCACAGTGTGTCAGACGGAACTTCAGAATCCTTGCCTCCAAGGAGCAGCCTGCTCTCACCCTCTTTAGATGAACCTGTCTGTTCTCCTAGCAGTCCATGGTATATTCAATAACAGCACCACAGCTCAAAGGCATCAATTCTCCTATCATCCCTATTCATTGTCCAGCTTTCTGATGCATAGCATATAATTACTGAAGTATCATCTTATTTTTATCTAATTGAAGTATTATGGTTAAAGAAACCTCAAAAGATGTTGAAATGCTGCTGAATATTTTCTTGCTTGTCACTGGATCCTTATTTTCAGCCCTAGTAAAGCTCCATAAATTGCATAATCATCTGGAGTACTTTCGGTTGCCCAAAGAGTAGAAATTTCTCCACCATTTAATTTTCTTACCTTGCTCTTCAAATAGCATGTGGTTATTGGCCAGGTTTTGTAATTATACCTTCAATTACATGTAAAAGTTGACAGAATGAATAATCAATGCTTGCATCACTGTAATTTTGTTTCACTATCCCTGAATCAGGAAGCCCTGGTGGATTAGTTGTAAAGAGTTGCATTGTCAGTTTGAAAGCATGTGGTTCAAATTCACTCCTCCTCCTCCTCAAGAGAAAGATGGGCAGTCCTCTCCCACACAATTTACAGCCTCTGAAAAGCCGACTGTGTGTCTGTCGGCACTGGCTTGAGGAACCGTAACAACAGCATCTGTAAGTTAATGGAACTGTGACATGTGCTCCTGTGGGACAGCTGGTAGATTTGAACAGCCTGCTTTTAGGTAAAGAGCTGGGCTGCCGACCCAAAGGCAGGCTGTTCAAAGCTGCTCCACAGCCGAAAGAAGGGCAGTCAACACGCAATCTCCTTCTGTTGATTCACAATCTCGAAAACCGATGGGGCGTTCTGACTAGGCTGCACATAAGAGCAATTCATTAATTCTGTCAGCTTTTCCTTAATTAGAACTTTTAAAAAAATGTTTTTAAATAATTTTAATGAAATTTACAGAGATTTTATATTTCCATTCATTCATTGCTGCACTTCTCTCCCTGCCCAGCTCTCCTCCACACCCCGGTTTGCTCCTCTCTTTGAAAAGTAAAATAAACACTCTCTCCCTGGTACACAATCCCCCCCCGCACCTCTCCCTCTGCCCCAAGTACATTTCACTATGCAATCTTAATTGTGGACTCTTGTGATAAACATAATACCCTGTCATACGTCGCTTTTAAATTATTCTCTCCCTCCTCTGTTTCAGTGCAGTATACATAATTTATCCAGGTTTTTTTTTTCAGTCTTGCCCAACCCTGATATCAGTCCCATTTTACAGCAGTGGCCCCATGCAATATTTGTCCTTTTGCGACTGAGATATTTCACTCAGCATAGTGTCCTCCA